TTGAGAATCGACTAGTGGAAACTTTAATGTTTGGATGGATAAGCTTGTCCGAAGTAAAAGGCAAACAAGTTTATTGGGATATCAAACCGAAATTCTGTGAAAGACAAAGAATAAGAAACAGAATGAAAATTCCTTTATCCGCCATCAGTTGCGAAAACCCAGAAAAGTAGTATGATCCGCAACTTCCCCAAACATCCTAAGTGATTTTTGACACCTTTAGGCTGGTGTTCGCCTTTTCCATGTCATATCTGCTTTTCATTCACTTTTATCGATGGATGATCCTCACCTCGTACTATTTGGACATCACAGGTCCTATGATGGTGGCCGTGCAGAAGGTAGGATTTGATTCAGATCTTTTAAAGACTAAAATCAGACCCCTTGCGAGCACTCGCTTCATTATAGAATTTTGAAAAATTGGTGATTCATTGAGCGAATTTCTTTTGAGCTATAAAAGTCACAGCGCGTCATCCGTGGCGTGATTCACCAGTGTTTGATATTTAACTCCCAGGGTGGTCCACGTGATTCATCTGAGCAAACAATTGAAAAATAATCCTATGAGAGTTCTTACTTATGAATGTTCACAGCGATTATGGCTTAGTCCATTGGTCGAGGAATTCAATTTCTCACATTTTGTAGATAACAACAGTGGCCTTCTCACTACATGATGGCAGAGTCAAGAAGAAGGAAGAACTTAGTGAACTGCAAGAAAGAGAGGCTATTACGTGAGCTCTTAAATCATATTTTGAAGCTGTCATTGCTTCGGAGAAGTAAAAAACGATAGGTAATATATTTATAAAGTATAGGTGTAATTACATTAATTTTAGAGAGCTACCGTCGCTGTCAGAGTACATATCCTACGTCTTTAACTTCCAGGTAGAAATATCTAACCGGCTTTTCTAGCTTTTCTTAGTAACAAAGTGAAACTCGATTCCAGACAGCGCTTACTGGTCCCGTAAACTTCTACTCGGATTATATCGCTTTCATCGATGGTGTGCACGTGGTTCGAACCAAGGAGGGCAAGGTACCTCGAAAGTTTGTTGTGAAAAGCGTTTCTCTATTTACTTAGTGACTCTTTCGAAAAATCGAAGATGAGTGTTGAGTTCCAATGTTTTCTGATGTTTGAGAGCTGTGAGCTTCAAACTGCGTGGCACTTTGTGCGGAGTTAATTGATGAGTGTTCGAACATAACAGCTGTTCGGCTGAGAAGGAGAAAGGAAGACCAAAAACGTGATTTACTGTGGATGGTCGATATGGAGTTGAAAATTTGGGCGTTTTTGAGAGGAGTATGAAAATATGATTTTTTGATCTTTTACATACTGTAGAAATCTTCTCTCCTATTTCCTTAACTTGTGCTCTTTTACGCGGAGCACTCACATACGATCTGATATTTGCCTGAACAGATCGTTTGGAGCAAAACATTTTTAATTGATTTTATAGCCAAAATGAGGTAAAGGAGCCATATCAACTGTATTTTGAAAAAAAAAAACAAAGCGCTATAACAGCCAATTTTTTCCCATTTGTCGTCTTTTGACAATTATCTCTTTTCCGGTCCTATGATCTTCCTTAGGTATTCAGCACTGTAAAATTCAGCTGCGTTCGAATTTTAGTTTTTTTCGGTAGTAAGTAAAATTGCAGATAATGGCCATATAATGCCGGATATAATAGTTCCTTCTTTAACTTCACGCACTCGTAGCCTTTAGATGCAGATTACTGTTTTTATTTAGAGATACTGAAAATCCCATCTAGAAAGCAATTTCCATTAAACCGACAGAGAATCTTTTTGCGAATGTATAGAAAACATTAATGCGTTCAGGAAGCACTGTTTCAAGATCTTTAAAGTCTCCAGAAAAAACCCCGAGGAAGTGGCTTTCCTCTCCATCTGCTGAAAAGAGACTGAAGTTGCCTGCACTATGAGAAATTTCATAGA